CCCCCCCCCCCCTCCTTTCGATCAGCGATTCTTTTGGGCAGGAAGTTGACCGTGTTCGGTCGGATTTTTAAGCTAAGGGTGATCGGGTTCACCTTACTAATCTGGCAAGCCGCCAAGAGGCAAAACCCTTGCGAACCCGCAGAGTTTCCTCGGCAGTGTAGAGGCGACCGTCTCACCAGAACTGAAACAACTTGATGCAGGTACTGGATTGATTTACAAGAACAAATTAAAGAGATATTACACATATAAGAAGCTAAAGAATGTATAGTTTTAGATTAGACTTTGTCATCGTCAGGTATTTGTTCGATGGTCAATAATCTCAAATATTGCACCCATTGTGTCCTGAACAGGATAATCAATATATACATTTATTTCACTGTTAAAAAGGCACATTTTTAAAATGATTAACACTTTTTTTACTCGTTGGGAAAAATAATTTTATCAAAATATATTTTTTTTTAAATTGTCATTTTTAATATTTTGTATGCACAATTTAGATGGAGCAAAATTGTTAGCCTCCTAAAAGGTGAGCCATGGCCTTCCGTTTGGATTAATGCCTGAAGTTTTTGTAAATGTATGCTAAAATTACAACAGTTTGAAAGTTATAAATAGTCAAAATGAACAAAAATAAGCTAAAACAAAAAAAGTGCTTAAAATATATAATCAATGTCCAAAATTTAAAATGTATAAAAAGTATACAATTTTTAGAAACTTTATAGGTAATGACATAATATGGTTACATATCATTGTGGACATCACAACCCAGTAATTTCTTTTAATCAACCCTGAAACACACTACAATGAACTACGTACATTGATTTAATCAACCCTGAAACACACTACAATGAACTAAGTAAATTGATTTTATCAACCCTGTAACCCAGCTGTAGTGAACTTGCAAAGTCTCCAATTAAGCTTGTAACAAACTATGATCATTTTCAGTCTCCAATTAAGCTTGTAACAAACTATGACCATTTTCTTAAACCACTATTATCAGCCCAGTAAAATACCCATTTCAAGGTATAATGAACCCCATTATAGGCTTTAATCAGCCCTTTGACCTGTTCAAATCAACACAGTATCCCATTAAAATCATTCTCGTTACCAGCTATAATTAACTAAATTACTAACTAAAGTGAACGCACTATTTAGGAATAATTAACCATTTGACCCACTCTACAACCCATAATAATGATATACAAAAACCCTCTTTAACACGAAGTCAACTTTGATAAGCCACGTCACACCTTATAATCAACTGTGCAACCAACCATCTAATTTATTTAATGGACTTGAAAAATAACACCGTAACGAGCTATAATTAGTGGCATTACATTGTATTTTTAAAACCATAGCTTCCTATAGTATGCGGCAAGCCCAGTAACCCAATATAATCAACCCATTAACACTATATGATCACATGCATTTTTGGGTTTCATTGCTATGCATTTATTATACATGATATTTACCATGTGGCTGCCTCTTTGGGCAATTAATGAGATACCTCACCTGATTGCTATAACAGAAGTATAAAATTAATTTCAATAATTAAAGCAATTGACACACTTTGATGAAAAATTGCTGCCCGCATACAAAGCATGGTGCACCAAAAAACAAAAAAAAAAATGTTTCAGTGGTCGAAATATGCATGGCACCAGTAATTAGTGTATAAATAAATTTTATTAATGACAGCCTGTGTCCAATTAGTTATATAAGTATCCAGTTCTAAGAAAGGTCAGCTTGACATAAGAGGGGGGGGCAATGTCACTTGGCCGTGGGAGTCCTTCCTGCTGCTTGATTGGCCGCCACAGCAAAGGGGTTACTTGGTGCAGCGTTGTAGGTAAAGGCGAGTGGCGGAGATGGGGCAGCGGTGTACGCTGGAGGGACTGGTGGTGCTGGTGGTGCTGGTGGTGGTGGATAATTCGCCTGGTGTGTGTAGGGGGTTGGCGGCGTGGCGTTGTACTGTGTGTTGTAGCCCGGAAAGGAATTGGTGGTGGCGTAACCGTTGTGCTGCTGCTGTTGGACGTTACCTGGAGGAAGAGAGAGGCCATTGTTCAGCTAGTAACGTTTAAATGTTAACACAAATACGATTGAGTTTTTTTGTCTTCGGGAAATTCAAAGTCTTAACGTCTCCATTTCCCAACACATGTGTTCTGAAGGGATTTCCTTGTGAGATGCTACAAATATATGTATTAGCATCTTTTTAAAAAGACTCTTTTCCATGAATGTTAATCTAGATCAAATGAAAACTTATAGAAATTGATTTTTTTTGTTAAATTAACGAAAATTAAGAACTTAACTTCCATCTCAGTCAATCTCAGAAAGTTTGAATTATGTCCCTTTACTTTTATATTTGAATTTTTTTCCTTTACTTCTATAAAATTTCTTTTGCTTCCCTTTTGGATACTATATTTCAGCTCAAAGCTTTTTTTAAAATTTAACTAAAATATTTTCTTTTTTTTTTCTGTTGTATATTTTCTGACGAAGGTTTCCTATCGATACGTTCCTTGTTTTGTTGTGCTGCTTTTTGCAGGTTTTTACATACTTTTTTTTTTTTTACTCATTTCCTACTAGTATAAAGCCTGACTTCTCTCCCTGTACTTCTATCAATTTTGAATTTTTTCCCTTTACTTCTTTAAAATTTGAACTCTTTCCCTTTGCTTCCAGGCTTCACCGCTAGGGCTGTTTTTTTTTTAAAAATGTTTCTTCATGTAAAGAATGCAGATGGAATGTCGTCCGATTAATGTAAAGCTTGTAAACGAGTCACAATTTAATAAATTGCATTACATATGAAGTTTTAAATAAAAATTATATATAATATTATACTGAACATTAAAAAAAAATTTTTTTTTAACTTATTAGAAATCTATTTTTAAATGGGGACGCGGTAAACTTCGACTCTATAAATTTGGGTTTCCAGGATCACCCATGCTTTTATAAACTGGGGTTGTCAAACAAAATGCTTGGGGACCTGTGATTTGGGTCAACAAAAGAATTTGCTCGACTAAATTTAAAGTATTGCTAATGATGACCTGATGGTTAATAATATACTTTCCATGTCCACTGGATTAGCTCAGTACTATTTAAACAAATTTAATCCTGTTTTTTTTTCTGTTTGTTTGTTTGCTGATGAAGGGTTCCTGTCGATATGTTCGTTGTATTGTTAACTGGATTAGTATTAGTATAGAGCAGAAATTGTGCGAGTCCATCTTGAAGTTTATTGCGATTCGTAGTAACATATTATTATGGGCAAAGTACTATTAACACTTATTCAAATGTGTGGCTTTCAAGTATGGATATGTGGATATTTTGTTGTAAAAAGAAAATCAATCCTTCTGTGACTTTCATCCCATTTGGGGAGCTAAGGGGAGGTAAGAAAGGTCAACCAATCAAAAGCTGTCCTTTACTATCCATATTAACTTTTTAAAAAAAAATTAAAATGTATTTAAATATGATTTATTAGTTATAAAAATATATACATATATTATTAAAGTTATAAACTTTATATTTGGTTTTAACTTAAACTTGTTTAATTTAGTATAAAAAGCTCACCGCTACTAAGGACGACAACTTTCTGACTTTGAGGATAATTGATCACCTGACCGCGCTGTTTCTTATACTGACAAAAGCAGAAGATGACAACCGCAATGGTACACACACCGGCGATGCAGCCAAACACAATCCCTGCAATGACGTATGGGCTGGGGACGAACCAATCAAACAAATCAAAACAATTTTTTAAAAAAAAAGCAAGGAACCATTTTTTCTTAAAATCACATCTATTTTAACGAATTGAAAAAATAGGTAAATCAACCAATCAATTTATAAAACGACCAGAGATTCGATCCTCTACTATTTTATTTACTTTAATTTTTTTCAAATTATCTTATCATTTTGCAAACAAGTTCGATTATTTTGTTCCAATTTTTCTAAAGCGTTTTAGATTGAAGGAAATAATACGTGAGCGGTGAAAACGAAATTGAAAAAAAAAAAAATTCAAACAAACTTTATTGGAACAATAATTGAAAAGTTAAAATAATCAATAAGAAAATACGTACGCAAAAAAAGAAGAATTCAGAAATTAATTACGCACGGCTGAATACAACAAGTCTGCTAATGAACTCATTTTAAAAAAAATTAACACCCTGACTTTTACTTTCATCGATCTTTTTTTAACAAACAAGCACACTATCTATCGATCTATAACGGAAAAAAAAATGATTTCTAGTATCATTCAAATAGAAGTAGACTTGTTACTTCACCTTGTACAACAAAACTGATACCATATACAACAGTACTGAGACCACATACAAAATTACTTAGAGCACATTCTTAATTGATGAGGAATTTCTAGAAAGAGCTGATTAAATTATGGATTTCTTCTGCTCCAGATCCTATCCTGAAACTACTCTGGTCTCAGCACTAGATTGCATCAGCACGATCACACGAAAAGAGGCTTTCAAAACTCGTCAAAACAACAATGAAGATCGTACCAAACTTATACTAACCTATCACCCTCACAATTTAACTGCCAAAAAAATATTCCTAAAAAATCGTAGCATACTTCTTGCTGACCCTGATACCAACAGGGTCTTCTCATCCCCTCCACTGATTGTCTTTAGACGGAACGAAAATCTAGGTGATCTTCTGATTCATAGTCGCCTTCGGTCTGAACCGTCTTGCTTTGGTACTAAACCATGCTTAAGAGGCCGCTGTAGGACTTATCCCTTTACCCTCCAAACTGAAAGCATTAGCCTTCCTAAAGGTACCTTTACGATTAAAGAGGGTTTCGCCTGTGTCAGCCGTAATGTAATATATGCGATTATGTGCCGTAGATGCCAAGCTAGTGACATAGGTGAAACTGGGAGAAGATTGGCTGATAGGTTTACTGAACATCTAAGGGATATTGAGCAATGTAAACCTTCCCCAGTCTCTTCTCATTTCAACAGAAAAGAACATAAAGGTGTATTGGATGTAATAATTACGGCACTGATTTCATGCAGTAACACACCAGAGAGGGTTAAAATGGAAAATAAATTTATTCAGCTGTTTGGCACCATATCTCCATATGGTATTAATCAAATATCCTACTAATGTTTCTCTGTTTCCTTATATTTCATCTATTTTCTTATTGCTGTGTGTTGATGTATCCCTGGATATTCTGGTCCATTATTGTTGTGGACCTCATTTTTCACAGTGTCAATATTTATATTCTCTCGCTTCCTGTGTTCCCACTTCCGGCGACACCAATTGGATACCTCTTAAATTGTTTACTGTGCTCTGTTCTTTGTTATATTTTCATTTCTACTGTTAGCCGAAGAAGGCTTTATGCCAAAACGAACATGTTTTTTTGTCCTGTTGTCTAATTCAAGCCTCCACATACATCGTTTTGCCATTTCATTCATTTACCAGGCTTGAATGCAGTCCTTTAATTTATATTTTAAAGTCTCCTTGGACTGTGCCGGCCAAACGTCTCTAGATAGAAGTCCAGCACCACCGGCGACTTGCTGGTGTCACATGGGCTCTTGCCTCTTCGTGGCGTGGCAGACTAGTATGGGGGGGGGGCGCGCTCAAAACTCCCGAAGTTAAAAGATCCCAACGTCCCGACGGAAAACGTCCCGACAGAATGACTGACTGGGCAAGGGGGAGACGATGCAAAACCTCCTCTTCAATGAGAGGAAGATTTCTGCCCAAACCCAAAACTCATGGCAATGTCACTAAATTCTTTAAAGCATGTCGTGGCGACCTTCATAAACCCTCGGCACCCACTGCTGGTAGGCAAGGTGGGACCGAATAGAGTGATTGTTGTGGTGCCCGGGCAGCATCCTCTCCCCGCGGAAGTCCTCAGGGGGAAGAGGTCCCCGCTCGCGCGTGTAACGCACGACAGGTGCGCGCAAGGCCAACAAGTTACTGGTCGTGAACGAATGGGTGCGAGGGGTCACCTTGAACAGACCCTAGTTGTATTACAGCTGAATGTGTGTGGGATCGGGCAAAAGGCGCACAAAGTAACCAAGCTCCTCCACGATCGTAAAGTGGATGTGGAGTTATTCCAGGAAACTACTTTGTGAAACGGCACGCCGTTTCTAATTACTGATTACTGTGAGAAATCGGGAGTGACCATCTTCCCATATTACTAGAGATTGCTCTTGGCATGATTAAAGCCCGTGTGAAAGACGCCATTGGCTCTTCCGGAAAGCCAATTGGGGTGAGTACGAGAAGCAAACCGAGACCAAGCTAGGTCTGCTAGACTTCATGTCAGTCGATATAGATGCCGCCTTCGAGAAGTTCAATGGCACCATTCTGGGGTCGTACGAACAACGACCCCCAGAACGAATGGGAGAAAAAAAATCAGACCCTACTGGAACAGGGAACTGAAAGATCTCGTAAAGCAAATTGCGAAAGCCCGAAAACAGGCCGCGAGAAAGAAGACACCTGCTGCCCGTGCAGGCTACAACCGACTCACGGCTGAAGTTTGCTGTCCAAAAAGCGAAAAAAATTGAAATGGGTCAGTGCATGTGAAAAGCTCGACCTCCAGGACGGCAGAAAAAATGTGGAACCTGCTTGGAAATCTCTCTTGCGTGTAGTGGCGTAGCTAGGGATTTTGGGGCGCGGGGGGGGGGGGCTTGGCCTCTTTAGGGGCCCCTGCATTTTGACATTCGACATTATGACATGAGATAATGTACTTAATAAATATATAAGTCTAAATTCAAATTGGTACAGTTTATCAGTAAAATTAACAAAAAACAATCAATAAGACTCTTTTAATGAATAATATCGTTGTTTATCGGCGAGATTAATGTACAAGTGACAAATCTCAATTCATATCGCCTTCTTGTTGTGCTTTCTGTGCAGGAAAGGCATCTATAACACTATAACATCATCTAGATCAATGATGTCTAGAATTTTTGACTCCACTGGCATTAAAGCCATGCTAATTAGTCTTTCTTGCGTCATTGTGCTCCTGAGATAGGTTTTGATTAACTTGAGTTTTGAGAATGATCTCTCACATGATGCAATGGAAGTGGCCTGAGTTAGCAGTATTCAGATGGCGGTTGCAAGGTTCGAGCACACATCATTACCATATGAAGCCAGCTTCGTCAATATGTCAATTGGTGATTGTGGTACTGGTTTGTTGATGAAAAGTGCTCGTGCATCAATGACATCATTAAACAAGCGACTTGCCTGTATTTCATCATACAAACAGGAAAAAGTAACACAGTTTTTCTTTAGCGTGTCATCATCCATGGACTCCAACAGGTGTCTTGGTTCAAGAAGAAACCCGAAGGTGTCCACGTGGTTTTGGAATCAGTCCTTCGTAATCATATGGAAGTCTGTCCAGCACATCTGTCGCAACACGTTTGAATTGCAGTTATATTGACAGTCCTACATCAGAACTCAACTCCCCATCAATTCTTTTCTTTCCTCTGTATGTTTTGCTTACAGGAAATCCATAGCATTCACTACCTTCTTTTGCTCTTTCGATGGATTGGGTGATCAGTTTCGTCCATTTCTCATCATTTTTCAGAAAGATTTAAAGGGTCTTAATCTCTCCAGCAGTTTCCCGTATTTGCAGTCCAGACTTTTGTAGTTTCTTCTGAACTATATCGATTGGGCGCAGGAGATTTGACCAGAATTCCAGATACGCAAAAAATTCATAATTTTCCACTTCATGAAGAAGATTCTGTGCACTTCTTCTAGTGTCCATTGTAGCTTCTTCTCTTGAGGACCACCTTGTACTACTCTCCTTTATTAGACTCCCGGCTCCAGCTCCTTTCAGTTTTGCCCATCTCCTTGGTGAATTGGAAAAAAAAGTTGAACAATTCATGTACAGTTCCAAAAAAGGTGACAAATGCTGAATCTATCTCAGCAGAATGAAGCGCTGTCAGGTTGAGAGAGTGATTATCACAGTTCAGAAATGTTGCCTTTGGATTTATGTCTAAGAGACGTTTCTGCCGGCCAGACAGACGGCCACTCATTGTGGCTGCGTTATGTCTAAGAGACGTTTCTGCAGGCCAGACAGACGGCCACTCATGTGGCTGCGTTATGTCTAAGAGACGTTTCTGCAGGCCAGACAGACGGCCACTCATTGTGGCTGCGTTATGTCTAAGAGACGTTTCTGCAGGCCAGACAGACGGCCACTCATGTGGCTGCGTTATGTCTAAGAGACGCTTCTGCAGGGCAGATAGACGGCCAAACATTGTGGCTGCGTTATGTCTAAGAGACGTTTCTGCCGGCCAGACAGATGGCCAAACATTGTGGCTGCGTTATCATAGGTCTGACCTCTGCACAGATCAAGGTCCAGTCCAATGTTTTTAAGAGGTTTCAGAACAAATTCTTCATAATGTTGTGCATCTGGCTTCACAATTTCAAAGTAACCAAGGAATGACTCTTTCATTTCGAAATTCTCCACATCCAAGTAGCGAACTATGAGGGATACTTGTTCTTGGTGAGAAACATCTGGAGCAGAATCAAACATCAGAGAAAAGTAACAAACTTGCTTGACTTTCCCAACAATTGATTCCCTAACTTTATTGCCCATCAAGTTTATGAACTCACTTTGAATTTCTGGTGACAAATAATGTGTCTTCCCAGGTTCAATTCTATGTAAGTGGTGTTTCGTAACTTCATCAAATTCTGCAAGAAATTTCAAAGATGCTAGGAAGTTGACAGGATTGGGAGAATCCAGTTTTTCTTTGTGGCCACGTAAGCTTGAGTTGGTTTTTGCTATGTACTTGACAGCTGCTGCTACACGCTTCAGAATTTATTTCTCTCCAATACTGCTTATTTTTGTCAAAATTTGCTCATGAAGCATATGTGACAGTTCATGTGGTTCTGCCTTAAGCCTTTCTTCTTCTAGCTTCCACTTCAAAAAAGCTTGTCTATGGTGGACTCCTTCTTCATGTCCTTTCAGTCTCTCGGGTTTCTCTATTTGGTGAAGCCAACTCCAGGTTTGCTCAATGCACTAGATGTCTTTTCTGATGCCTCAGAAAACAGTACACATGCAAAACAAAAAAGACACTCCAAGTGTGGAGAGAAGAGGAGCCAAGATCTAGTAATCTGGAGCTCAAGAAAGAATGTCAAAACATTGCAGATCCGGCTGCAAAATGACCTAAACAGAATAGAAGCCTACGCGAGCAGGGGCAAAATGGTCGTAAACACAGACAAGATGGTTTACTTAAGTTCACATATAAGAAGAACGCACTTAAAGTCGAGACGAAACTCACCATCAACGGTAAAGAGTTGCAATGGGATCGGACTCCAGTGTATTTGGGCGTGAAGGTGGTTCAGAAACGCCAGCCCCACAGTCATATACGTGAACTATGCGCGAAGACTTCCCAAAAATTAGGCCTGGTGAAGAAGCTTGCCTGCACTGATTGGGGCGCTGACACAAGACTGCTAAGGCCCCTTTATCTTAGCAGCGTGAGAGGTGCAATGGACTACAGCCTGCCCGTCCAGACCTTTGCGAGCCACACGGCTCTAGAGGAGCTGGTCCGCAATCCAAAACCGAGCTCTTAGGTTTGTGTGCGGGGCGATACGCATGACACCCACATCAGCGGTGGAAGTCTTGGCAGACGTCGAAACACTCGATATCAGGCGGGAAGAGGCAGTCCTAACGACGGTTGAGCGTTACCGACGTATGGACAGGCAAGAACCCTGTTTCCAACTACAGAACGAAAGGGTAAAAATACCAGATTAAAGAGACCGTCCTACATGGACAAGGTCCACAGTCTTGAAGAAGACGTGGTTTTACCCGGAAACAGGGAAAAAGTGAAGGTGATCCCAGCGCGGGGACCCCACGAGAGCCTTATCCGGCCGGAAATCCGTCTTGCCATGACGACCCTCAATGCAAATAAAGCCAGCCCTCAACCAGAACTATCAGAGGCATCGCTGCAAACGATTAACGTTTACCCCTAGTGGGGGGGGCGGGGGTGGATGGGGAGGCCCGGAGGCCTGCCTTGAAGAATAGCTTTACGGTGACGCCCAGCAGATGAGGCTCACCGCCAAAATCATAGCCACGGCCATGAGAGACTGAGTCTCGGCCGAAAAGATAATTGACATTATATTTTAAAGTAATGATACAGCATACAACAGTATTGAGGCCACATACAAAAGTACTTATACCACATTCATAACATGTGTATTTGTCTTCTATTATTCAACGGTTCTGAGAACACAGCTGTTCTTTTGATCACTTTCTACTGTATTGAGACCACATACCACATTGATGAGACATATCACAGTAAATATGTAACTTAACTCATAACGACAGGACTGAGACCACATACAGCGTTATAGCACAACTGACCTCATACAGCAAGACCTATTATACTCAGAGCCACAACAGCTCCATTTACAGTACTCTACACTCTCATCATCCTTCACGCAGTAGTCACTGGTGGCGCCATCTGTCAAACATAAAGAGGTAGAGATGATACGATATGCTACTGAACCCCACAACAATTACTACTGGTACTTACTTGTGCATTTTAGAGTGTCAAGATTTATGCTATATTGTTTGTGACCACTTATATGTGCATTTAAGAGTATTAGGACTTCTATATTGTTTGTAACTGTTCCGATCTGGTGAAACCAATAACTAAGTGAAAAAACAATGTTTTTCCGGAAGAAAGTTACTGGGAAACAATGTAGATTCTAGGTGTTGTTTCATGTCTCTTCACATGCACCTTTCTTCCCGTTCTTCCATTACCTGAAAAACTTCATGACGTCAAAGATTCCTAACCAATAAAGTTACATCGTGAGTTGGAAACATGGTATTGTAACTTTTTTGTAACAATATCAGCAGTGGCGTAGGAAGGGGTTTGGGGGTGAGAGTGGTCCGCCCTATGAGGTATTTTTTTAGATGGAGGTGTGTGGGGTGGGAGATTTTCGGGTTACTGCAGATTTGTTTTCGTAAAAGAGTGCGATAAAAAAATCTTAGCCCGTTCCTGGCGGGAAAAAAACCCAGCTACGCCCCTGAAAAACAAAGGTTAAGAATTATGATTAAACGCTGGATATTGTTCTTTGTAAATGTCTTAAACTTCTGTTAACAGAGAAGTATGTCCTGTTAAACTTCCTGGGAAAATCTCAAATTCAAAGATCCTATTCCACTTAGCCATTGGCTTAATCTTACCTGATAACATTTAACATATTTTTAAATGTGTATAATAGGCACTAGAAAGCGATTTACATAACAGCTTTTTTGACTTATTAACCTTATGTCCCTACATACCATCTTTTTTTGTGTGTTAATCTGAAATCTATGAGACATACCTTGTAAAACATAACACAACAGTAGCAGACTGTGAAATGGTAAAACTTTTGATAGACCCATGGGTGGGTCAGTTTAATCTGTTAATAAAAAAAAAAAATTGTTAAATATTGTGTTCTAAAAGACATTGTATAAAATGCAGTGAAACATAATCATTATTATTATGTAAAATGTACAGCATAAATATTTTGACCTTATGAATTGTATTGAAAGTTTAGAAGAAACACAAATTGGGACGATTTCGGATCAAACAATGACTTATGGAAGATATATCATTTACAGACAGGAAGTAGTGGAACAGGGTATGTTAAAGCTTGAAATGTAATACAGATTTAGTAGAACGATAGTTTCACTGATTACAATCTAACACAAGACATGACTTTACACCTGTAGTAGGAGTAGCAAATAAGCTTTACTGATTGTATCCACACAAAAAAACATATGACAGTACAGATTTATTCGAACAATAGTTTCAGTAACTGTAGTTTGACCGTCTCATTTTGAAAGGCGTTATAATGAAGACCTAAAGAGAGCTATAATGTAATTTGTACGTTGATTTACAAAGCTTATAAAATAACCATATAGGACGATGTCTAGTAAGAAATAATGATTTAACGTTGGCTCGAAAAAAATGTCGCAACAATAAAAAATAAAGTTTTATAAATTTACAATCAGTTATTTCAAGCCTTCTTATCACAAAATTTGTGTAGCTTATTTAATCGCAGCCCTACCTGGACCGAGTTTATTCTTGTAGATATCACACCATTCCTCTACGGACCTTTAAAATTAACTGCCACATTTGAGAATACAATCCCTTATTGGAGCGGCTATTCTTAGACTCGACGCTGCCATTGACGTAAGAGGACTGTTGAAATTGACAATCCTGAAAAAGCCATACATTTAACAGTCAGGCCTAGCGCCCCCTACCCCCACCCCTTTCCAAAATACAGGAACACAAGAATCGTACCCTAAGGCCAGTTCAAAACGTTCGCACTAAACTGGCACAGGTCAGGTATTACCTTTTGAATGGAGATCGATGGAACTGCTAACTGAATCAATCGATAAAATCAATGCTGAAAAAACAAGACTGTTAATGCAAAGTTTCCTTGCGCAACAATTGCTGTTGGTGTGTGTGTGTCATATTGTATAAGACGTTCTTATATTGTGTACATACATTCTTGTGTTGTTGACATCCTTTCTTATAGTGTGTACGTCCTTTCTTATGTTGTGTACATCCTTTCTTAAATTGTGTACTGAATGTCTTATATTGTGAACAGATTTATTATACTGTGTGCATAATTTCTCATTTTGTGTACATTCTTTCTTATATTGAGGACAGACTTTCTTATATTGAGTACATCGTTCTTATATTGTGTACGTGTAAAGCTTTTCATATATTGTGTTCAGCCTAGTTATATTGTGTACAGCCTTTCCTATACTGTCTAGAACTTTATTAAATTGTGTACTGATTATCTTATATTGTGTATAGACTTTATTTTTACTGTATGCATACTTTCTCATATTGTGTACATCCTTTCTTATATTGTGTACAGACTTTCTAACGTGTAAATTCGTTGTAATTCATAAAACGTGAAAGGTGCCGTGAAATTCTCCTGGTTGGTGACCCGTTCGTTTGAGTCGAGCTCCCTTTAACGCAGACGTTTTCGTCATTCGGCTTTCGTCGTGAAGTATCTCTGGGTTCTGTGTTCACTTTTGCAAAAAGTTTGTTCAACGCCAGTCTCGCTTTCTCCAACGTGCCAAACCCACTTTCCAACCCACTTGCCAACCCACTTGCCAACCCACTTGCCAAGCCACTTGCCAGCCCACTTTCCAACCCACTTGCCAACCCACTTGCCAACCCACTTGCCAACCCACTTTCCAACCCACTTGCCAACCCACTTTCCAACCCACTTGCCCACCCACTTCCCACTTGCCAACCCACTTGCCAACCCACTTGCCAAGCCACTTGCCAGCCCACTTTCCATCCCACTTGCCAACCCACTTGCCAAGCCACTTGCCAGCCCACTTTCCAACCCACTTGCCAACCCACTTTCCAACCCACTTGCCAACCCACTTGCCAACCCCCGTCCCAACCCACTTGCCAACCCCTGTCCCAACCCACTTGCCAACCCACTTGCCAACCCACTTGCCAACCCTCTTGGCCTATTTCGCCGAGCGAAATGTTACGATGAGGCTGCGCAGTAACTCTTGAAATTATTAGTGTTTAAACGTTGCTAACCCATAATCTATCGTTGCACTTCTTATGCGCCATGTGACTCAGGGAATCAAATGACAAACATGTCAATAGTTTATTATGTCTGGTCAGAAGAGGACGGCTCAGAGCAAATCAGAGAAATCCTATGGGACGGTTTGACACCAACCATATTAAAGTCGTTGAATATCCTTTAATTGAGTGGCCATTAATGTTAGCATCGAACTTGTACACATAAGCGACTTCGGGGGTAGGTTGAGTAGCCATTAATGTTAGCATCGAACTTGTACACATAAGCGACTTCGGGGGTAGGTTGAGTAGCCATTAATGTTAGCATCGAACTTGTACACATAAGCGACTTCGGGGGTAGGTTGAACAAACTCCTTTGGGGATAAAGTAAGAAGTATTACTCGAAAAGTAACACCCACATTTTTTCTTCTTGGAATTGATTATTTTTGTAGAATTTTACTTACCCTCCAGCCCACCCCACCATCCCTACACTAACAGCCCCATCCCCCATCAGCCCCCCACCCCCATTCACCATACTACTTTTCTCGTAGCGATTTACATTATTTTTTCTAGTTATCTCCCGTCTAGATTTAATTTCTCCTATTACATTTTATTGCGTTGCCTCCCTTTGTATCCGGAACAGGAGTCGAGCACGAGGGTTGTGAAGAACAGTGCTTTAAGTTAACAGTTTGATATTAGCAATGCTGACTGTATCAGTGGCTCGGTGATGTAGTTGGCGTATTCCGTCAAGGGCCCACTGATTACGGCTGAGTACTGAGTCATAATACGAGTACTAAGATAAGTTAGTTTCTTCATTCGCTGAGTACTGAGTCATAATATGAGTACTAAGATAAGTTAGTTTCTGCATTCGCTGAGTACTGAGTCATAATATGAGTACTAAGATAAGTTAGTTTCTTCATTCGCTGAGTACTGAGTCATAATATGAGTACGAGGATAAGTTAGTTTCTGCATTCGCTGAGTACTGAGTCATAATATGAGTACTAAGATAAGTTGCTTTCTTAATTCGCTGAGTACTGAATCATAATATGAGTACTAAGATAAGTTAGTTTCTGCATTCGCTGAGTACTGAGTCATAATATGAGTACTAAGATAAGTTACTTTCTTCATTCGCTGAGTACTGAGTCATAATATGAGTACTGAGTCATAATATGAGTACTAAGATAAGTTAGTTGCTTCATTCGCTGAGTACCGAGTCATAATATGAGTACTAAGTTAACTTATTATGAGTACTAAGATGAGTTAGTTTATACAGTCGATTCGTGGCTTTCGTTGGAGAGCACGTTGTAGAACAAAGGGACAACATTTTTTTTTTAATGAGACAACTTTACTCTTAAATTGAGTACCTTAATATTGATTTTAGTTTTTATAAATCTTCACATCTCCAGATATATCCTCTGCCCCCTACCCACCGCCCCCCCCCCCCCCCCCCCCCCACATCCACCCATCACCTACTATTGGTGTTTTCAGCGCCCCTGTTTTCAAATATCGAACGTGAGATGGTTCTATTTAAGAATCCCTGAGTGAGCCTGACATGTCCTGTGACGAGGGTGCTGAGCAAAACATGAAAAGGTGAAGAGAGTGGGTGGGAGAGGGGGTTTGGGGGTGGGGGCTGGGGG